CTATGAAAACCATTGTCTGCTTCTTTGAGGTTAACTGGGAAGGTTGTCATTAATGTCGATCTAGTGGCATTGCAACATTGCTTTTTCCTAAGGGAAGGACAACACACTCAATATTCTCAATCTTTCTAGCATTAACCAAGTGCTCAACGTGTGCCATCAAACAAGGAAGCCTAAAAGCAGAATTAATGAAACAAACAAGTCTAATCATATGGGATGAAGTATGTATAATGAATAGATTTGTTTTTGAAGCATTGGATTGCACAATGAGGGATGTAATGAGTTTCTCAAATAAGAACTCCTAAAATGAATAGTTGTATTGAGAGGTGATTTTCGGAAAACTCTTCCTGTTTTACTCAAAGTTTCAAGAGAGGAAATTGTAGGTATTACCATCAATTCTTCAAAATTATAGTCGTATTGTAAACTTTATACGTTGACGAAGAATATGAGATTGTATTCATCGATGTCCTCTTGCACAGATAGGGACACACAAGCCTTTTCTAATTGGATAATCAAAGTTGGAGATAGAAAGCTTGAACAAGTGATTGATGGAACAACTAACATTGAAACTTCATCCAAATTATTGATTCTAGACACAAGTTAACCCTTCAAGAGTATAATGGATTTCACTTATCTGAACCTATAGGGTACTATGAAAAGGTATTCTTTTTTCGAGGATAGGGCACTACTGACACTCATGTTTGAGGTTATAGAAATGGCAAATGAATGTCATATCCCTCATTCTAGAAGATGAATTGGTGTATTTGAGTTCTGATTCTTCATGTCAGGTAGATTCAGATGTAGATGTTTATGGTGATTAGATAACAACTGAGTTTTTGAATAAATTAAATAATCGAAGATCCCAAACCACAAAAATAATTTTTAAAAAGGGGATACCAATTATGTTATTAGGGAACATTGACCAAACATCTAGATTTTGTAAAGGTACAAGATTAATCGTTGAAGAGCTGCGAAAGAGCGTCATCAATGCTTTTATAGTTTTGGAAAATTGAGTCGGGGGAAAAGTTTACATGCATCATATGAATTTGGTATCATCTGATCTAATTATACCTGAAGTTCTAGAGAAGATATAATTCTTAATGGTTTTTATATTTTGCAATGACTATCAACAAAAGTTAAGGTCAAGCATTGTCATTTGTTAGATTATTTTAAACCAATTCGTTTTTCATTGATGGTTAGCTCTATTTTGCTGTTTCAAAAGTCTAGACAAAGACATCATTAAAAATATAGGTTCTAACTGAAAATTGAAACCATTGCAACCATACCAAAGTTGTTGTATACCCTAAATCTATCAGAAAATTTGGCATTTAAAAAAAATTTGTTGAGTACATATTCAATTCTTCAAATATTATTTGTTCTACATTGGCATTTTTGTCTATAATATTAAAAATCATGTCAGAATTATATATTTTTCTTTGAAAAAATATTGCATTGAAAAATTTCAGAATCGACAAAGATTTCAGTTGACAAAAATATGGCATTTAAATAATTTTTAATTGCTATTTTCATCTTTTTTATAATAGTCAAATGGAGATTTTTTATGCAACAAAGATAGTACTTAATATACATCTAACATATGCTCAATTAAAAATTAAACAACATTAATATCATACAATCATTTCTTCGCATAATATATTCATGTATGAACATTTATTTTTTGTGAGAACTTTTTAGATAGGAGTACAAAATTATGAAAATATCAAAATAGGAGTCATATGTCTTTTAAGATCAAAATATGAGTTCATAGTGTCATTGTTACACTACCACATTTGCCACATTGTAACTACCACGATATCACCGCCACACGGTCATTTGTCTCCGCCGGCCACCAGAGTACCATTGTGGATTGTAGACCTGTGCAAATAAGGATCCGTACCGGATGTGGGCCGAGCTGGATACAAATTATTAGCCCATTTACATGGGCGGGTCTAGCCCGGCCCGCATTTGATGGGCTAAACTTTTTACCCATACCCGCCCACCTTAGCGGGCCGAACTACCCACCTGGCCGCCCGGCCCGGATAAAACACCAAGAGAACTTTTTTTGTACAAAATATTCAAAAAAACATTGTACTCTTTTTTCAATCTTTAAAATAAAATCACCACTCGCCAAATTTACATAGAAAACATAACAGAGGTATTGTTGCATAATTAATAAACTCATCATACTAATTCATTAAAAGAATATTGATTTTTGTTTAAGAGAGGTGAGTGAATTGAACTATTATACATGAACTATAACAATTTTTCTAAATTATATTGGCTATATAATTAATAATAAAGTAAATATTTTTGATGAATATGGGCGGGCCTGCAGGCCCGGATGGGCTAAAAGTAACTTCCAGATCCGCCCAAATAACATTCGGGCTCGGCCGGCCCGTCCATGTGGGTATTAAAGGTTGTCCATATCCGCCCTTTTTAAAGGGCAGGCTGGGCGGGCCAAACGGGCCGACCCTTGTTTGCACAGGTCTAGTGGATTGCTAATGATTGACTGATCACAACGATATACTACTTATTATACTGGCATCATTTTTTCATCGCACTGCCAACACGTACTCTTACACTACACTATCATTATACTCTTATTTTGATCTTAAAAGACCTATGACTCCTATTTTGATATTTTCGTACTTTTTTACTACTATCCAGGAGATTTCTTTTATTTTTTTGCATATTCTTAGAACGTGCACATTATATAAAAACAATTCATCCTTATTTAAAAGTTATATAATGTTTAGTGAAATAAAAAAGAGTGCACAATTATCCTTGTCAAAAAATTTTAACACGACTACAGTCAAAATTTTGAAACATTGACTAAAACACATTTCAGAGAAACATAGTTAACGAACATTTTAAAATTACAAAGGGAATTGTAAGTTAATTAATTTATGACAATCTATGTTCACTCTAAAATGGTAATACAAATTTATCTAGAGGACACAGTTTTTTTGATAAATTCTCACACTATATAAATTTTTTATTTTATTGAAATGATGAGTTGGAAAAATTAAAAGAAATTTAAAAAAATTAAGAATTAGAAAAAAACTTGGAGAAATTGTAAAATACTGCAAGAATTTAGAAAAAAATAGGAATAAGTTGGGAGAAATTTTCAAATCAAGAGAGCATTAAATTAGACCTTTTATTTGGAACATAGGAGGAAGTGTATATACATGAATTAATTTTTTCTAACATGATTAAAATCATTAAATATTAGTTCAACATATATAAACTCTTCAATATAAAAATGTTGAGGGTTTATATAAGAGTAAGTCTAAAATGACACTAGTGTTACTGATGTAAGCATCTGATGTATAAATAACTAGTGTTATTTAATTTAAGACGCTTTCATTATATAAATAGAAGAAAAAAATGTGAACTCGAATATTGGAAATAATAAAAGTATGGAAAAATTATCTCTCATAATCTTAGGAAAATCGAAAACCAAAAACCGAACGGAAACCGATGGAAACGAGCTAGAAAAAATCGAAACCGAATGTAAAAAAGCTGAACCGAACCATTTTTGTTTTTGGTTTTCACTTCGAGAAACCGAACCAAACCAAATAAAGCAAACTTTCTTAGGTACATCCCTTTATTTATATGAGTATATGTAATATGAAAAAAATCATTAAAATATAAATTTAAATAACTGATTAGTCCATTAAATTAATTTTTCATAACTATTAAATATTCTAAACCATATTATAAACTTTAAAAAACCTATAAATATAAACATCAATAATCAATCCTAATACGGAATTATATTACCATTAACCATCGACACGAGTAATTTATAGAGTAAATTTCATAAAAGATCCCCAGTTATAGGTCGTTTTACATATTTAGTCCCTACATATCAAATATCAATAATTTAGTCCCCAATTATTATATAATTTTCCATAAATTGTCCTTTGTTAACATTTCCGTTAAGAACATGAATAAAATGTTGTATATCCTGAAGTCTTTTAGAAAATTTGGTATTAAAATAAACTTTGTTGTGTACACTGCTACTGTTATAGCACTAATATATGTTTAAAATATATAATATAGCACTGCTATGCGATATTGGAATTCTTGTGGATGCAATTCCAAATTTGTCCTTGCATTTCACACTGCCAAAAAATGTGTTTAAATTGATATACGCTTCCAGAATATGGACATAATACACTGTCATCATACCCAATATCACATGTATCCACACTGCCAAAGCATGATCATTTCATACTACCAAAAAATGTGTTTAACTTAGTGTTGGTGTAAATTACCATGCAAATGCTAAGTATAAATGATCAGAAGGGCTGTAGGTGGAAGCACCTGTAACCCGGTTTGTTATTAATGATAATAGGAGCTATTACAATAGTACAAGCCATGTAGGTTAATTAAAGCATGCCTCACAAATGAGGCTTTTAGGAGTATTTATAATAATCCTAAGCACGTCAAGCACATCTTTGATTATCCAGCCGGTCAGTCCACTACCGGTCTCTTAGCCAGATTTCGAAAATGGTAGCTACATCTTGGCTTGCCGAACTACTCATCCCGACTGGTCAGACCGCCCGGGTTGAAGCGGTCACATGGCGTCATATTCGGTACCTCCCAGTCGGTCGGACCAACCGGACGGTATCCATGGGTTATTACCCATCAAGGAGTCCTCCGATTCCCAGTCCTGTGGGATCCATCAGGGGCGGGAAGCATATGCGACCGTCTCTTCGAATTTGAACTGCCCAGGCAATTTTTGGCGGGAAAATGGTCTTTGTGCACCAGCGCCAACCCAAACATATTTGAATTTTGAATTTTTGAAAACTGGATATCAAAGGCGGGAGAATCTTTATTGAAATCTGGTACGGGGCCGCCGATTTGTTATGCCGTTTCGTCTCCCCGAGAGGTTATGCTGACGAATCATTTCGGCTGCCACGTGTCGCTCTGCCATTCGTTCGGCTGGGCGGCATCTCCCCTATATAAAGCGAGGTTCCCCCTTGAATTTTCTCACTTGCAAATCACCAACTAAAAATCTGCCCGGTTGCTTCTACTATTTCTCGAGTCCTCCGAGTCCTCTTGTTCCAAGTAAGTTTCTTTCTTCCCTCTTTTCTTTGAGTCATGTCTGACCGCGAAGATAGCCAGAACCCTTCCATCCACTCTTATGGTTCTGAGCGCCCGGCTACTTCCCCACCGAAGAAGCCGGTCGACGCTCCCACTTATGCCCCTTCTTCTTCTGCGGCACAAGAGGTCTCGGTCGCCCAGCCTGTGGATGAGGGCTTCATTCTGCTAGATGACCGGTTGCTTCCGTCGCACATGCAGAAGGCTCAAGTCCACGAGCTGCGCAATCTGATGCCGGATGGGTACCAGTTGACCTACCGGGCTACGTGGAAGAATATTATTTCTCTCCACGCCGGTACGATGATTGGTATTCATTACCACTCCATCAGGGACTTGGGTGAATTCTCTATCCACCCTTTCAAAGTCCTTTTTCTTCGAAACATACGGGATCATGCCCGGGCAGTTGGCCCCAAATGGTCATCGTATGTTGAGTAGTTTCATCAATGTTTATCGTTTTCTTCGCATCCCTCTCTCCCTTCGTCTTTTCGATCACGTGTTTGATGTCCGGCTCGGGTCTAAGGAAACCCTTGGATTCGTGGTTGTGTCTTCCCATCAAGGCCGGGCATTTCTTTCTGGTCTTCCTCCTTCCAACAGGGGTTGGAAAGATAAATATGTTTCCATTAAATTCCCCCCGGCGGCTTTCCCATTCGCCCAAAACGCCTGGGGGAAGAGAATGAAACGCCAGGTCAAACCCCGGGAGACCGATGATCTAGCCGCCTGGGAGACCACTCTCTGGGCCGGGGACGCCTCCACCCGCGGACCCTACAACGTTGGGAAGTGGGGGGTCTACCCCGGTCAGGAGACTGATCCCGAGCCAGAGATCGTTCTGACCGAAGGGATCCCTCATGCCATCCCCCTCCGCCGGGTGAAAGGTTCTAAGGCCCTGGTCTCCACCACCGCCGGTCCCTCGCGCCCGGGGAAGAAGAAGAAGGAGAAAGGTTCAACCCCTGCCATTCTCAATTCTTTCGCATTATTACTTTTTGCAACTCTGTTTTTCTAACCAGTCTCTTCCTCTTTGTTTCAGTGGTGAAGTTCAACTCAAAGTTCGCCACCCCCAAGATCGTTATTGAGGAGCCCTCGACCGCCCAGCCCCTCAGCCAACCATCCGTCCAGCCATTCTCCCTGGACGAGCAGCCGGCCCCGTCTCACCAGGGGACCAGCCAGCCAATCCACTCCGGGGAACTCTACATCAATGTAGATACCCTGGAGTTCGACAATATGATGGCGGAGACTGGCCACACGTCGGAGGCCGGTCTGGGTGGCCAACAAACGGCTGGAGGTGGCGAAGAAGAGGCCATCGAAGAGGGCCTGCAGAGGAAAAGGCGGAGGGCCCAGACTGCGGATCAGTCTGTTCAGTCCTCCGACGCTGGTAAAGGGCAAAGCCAGCCCCGGTCCCTGGCCCTGAGGTAATCTTCCCCTCTCCTTTCTTGTGATGAAGTTCCAATCTTACCAGCATAACTTCTGAAATATTTTCATCCATTTAAAGCAGGTCGGCCGGATCGGCCACGAGTGGTTCACCCGGCTGGTGAAATCCCGGGACGAGGAGAAGGCTCGGATGGAAGGCATGATGGTAGAGTGCCGGAAGGAGGCCAAGACCGCTCATGAGAAGGCGGAGAAGAAGCTGGTGGAGCACTGCGCGGTCTACCTCCAGCTCTACGCCAAGCATGAAGGTCTTCTGAAGGCTGCAAAAGAGGTCGACGTGCAGGCTCAAGAAAAGATCCAGAGGCTGGAGGCCGAGAAAGCCGCACTGCAAAAGGAGGCCTCTCGATCGGCCGAGGAGATTGCCCGGCTTGGGGACAAACTAGAGAAAGAGCGGGCTGAACGGGCTTCTCTCGCAGCAGCTTGGGCGATTCAGGAGCCGGAGCAGTTTGCTAGCCGGGCCATTGCTGACCGGGATGCTGCCATCCGGCTGGTCCAAGGGCTCTATAAGCACGAGCCATCACCCAAGGTCGTTGATGAAATCGCGACCTTTGGCTTTGAAAGTAGCCAATATGACAAACACCGAGCGTTGTACGGCATCCTTGAGCAGCGGATCGAAGGTTTCGAGCCCAAGACCTCCTTGCCCGGGCTGCATGACGAGGCGCCGGTTCCGCCCTTCCCAGGGATCTGACTTCCTAGCCTTCTTCTCTTGTTTTTTTATTTTCATATGTAATGATCGGCCTCCGGGCACTTTTGTAAAACATTAATGGGTTAATGAAAATCTTGTTTCCATATTGTGTGTTGGGTGCCTCAGCACTTTACTTTGACTTTACGTTTGACATAAATTCTTTCCAACTTATAATTTTCAACTGTGTAGATTAACAAGTAGCAGCCCGGCTGCAATTACCCGATCTACTATATAATTTTACCCAAGTCCTTTCGAAAGACTGACTGGGCGGCCGGGGAGAAAATAGATTCGACTAATCTCCTCCTGGTTGGTTTATAGACCCGCGATGGCAATTTGACTTGTCCTTTTTGAAAGGATAGTCTTTTGCCCGGGAGCTCGTGAAGCCGGCCTTTCTTTCACAACGGCGTACTGCCCTTGTGGAAAGGTAAGCTTTATATTTTTCTTCAATCGTCTGACATAACTAACCGGGATGCTCTCCCTTTAGTTACGTCATTTGACCTCCGTGTTAGTACGGATGAAATGTATGATCGGTTCGACCTGTCTTTTCTTTTTCTTTTTTTTCAGGTGTCCAATTCGATTGGACATCTAGCCGGGCAGATTGGTGTGCGACCAATCACCGGTTGGTGTTTAGAAACAATCTTTCTGAAAAGAACAAAGTTTTATTCATAACCAAGAACTCATTACACTTTATCTAAAAAATTTACGTAAGTGGTGAGAGTTCCAATGTAGGTCAACTCGTCCACCTTCCATGGTTTCCAGCTAGTAAGTGCCCGGTCGGATGATCGCCCTTATGCGATAGGGTCCTTCCCAGTTACGCACTAGCTTACCCCTTTCATTAGGCTTGCTGGCATCCCTTTTGCGTAAGACCTCATCATGCACTTAGAAGTACCGTGGACCCACCCGATTGTCGTGATATCTCTTTACTGACTGCTGGTAACCGGCCATCTTGACAGCTGCCATGGTCCTTCGTTCTTCCACCAGATTTAACTCAGCTAGGTGATCGGCTTCGTTCTGACCGGGCTGATACACAGTCTCTCTAAACCTTGGGAATTCTGCCTCAATTGGCAACCGGGCCTCACATCCATAAGTGAGCACGAAAGGAGTCTCCCCGGTCGCCTTTCTTTAAGTGACTCTGTGTGCCCAGATTGTATGAGGTAGTGCTTCCAACCACTTGCGCCCTTCTTCACCCAATCTCTTCTTTAGCCCGTCCACTATTGTGCGGTTAGCATTTTCCACTTGGTCGTTTCCTTGTGGATACGCTACCGACGCCTTGCTGTGCTTGATTCCAAAACTGGCCAAGTACGCAGTGAACCGGGGTTGCGAAACTGTGGGCCGTTGTCGGTGACAATCATTTTTGGGGCTCCGAACCGGGTAACAATGTTCTTCCTAACGAATTTCTCACATTGCCGTACGGTTATGGTAGCCATCGCCTCAGCCTTAATCCATTTGGTGAAGTAATCAATAGCAACCATCACGAACTTCTTCCCACCTTGGGTGACCGGGAAAGCCCCAATAATGTCAATCCCAAACCGGGCAAAGGGTATGACATTAGAGGTTGGTTGGTAATATGTGGCCGGTCTGCCGGGATGTTTGTAAAAAAGTTGACATGTCCTACATTTTTGCACATACCGCTCACAATATCTAACGATGGTCGGCCAATAGTAGCCGAGCAATATTACCCTTTGAGCCAATGTACGGGACATTTAATGGGCTGCACAAACTCCCTCATGTACCTCAGCTATCGCTCGTTCTGCTTCTGGGTTGGTGAGACAACGCAGTAGAGGACCTCCAATGGCTCGTTTGTATAAGTGATCGTCCAGTACTTGGAACCAGGGAGCCTGTAGGACTACTTTCCTGGCCCGTTCTTCGTCATCTGGTTTTTGACCGGTCATTAAATACTCCATGAGATCGTATCTCCAGTCATCATCCGCTCCAATCACCCCGGTAGTTGAGCTCTGACCTTGCTGAATGGCTGCGACCTCAAACCGGTCAGCACTGGGTTGGTCCAATACCTCAATTTTGGCCAACTTTGAGACATGCTCCGGGCAAGCTTGCATCAACTTTGAAAGCATATCAGCGTCAGTGTTTTCTGACCGGGGTATCTTGGTCAGACAAAACTCTTCCAACTCCCTTATAAGTGCCCGGACCAGGTCACTTTACCGGGCCAGACGCTCTTCTTTGACCTCCATCTCGCCGTTGACCTGGCCGACGACCAGGCTTGAATCAGACCGGATCTTCATTCTTTTTATCCCGAGCACCCGGGCTAATCTGAGTCCACCGGCTAGTGCCTCATACTCCGCCTCATTGTTGGTAAGCTTGAAGTTAAGAACCAAGGCATGGTAGATTTTGAACCCTTCTGGAGTAGTAAAGACTATGCCGGCTCCACATCCCTTCGGTCTAGAGGCCCCATCAACGGCCATGTCCCACCACGGTTCGACCGTATGGGAAGGTCCAGCCTCAGGCTCCAAACCGGTCAGTTCACTAAGGAATTCGGCCAATGCTTGACCCTTTATTGCGGTCCTGGGTTTATACCCAATCTTAAACTGAGTGAGCATCATTGCCCATTTGATCATCCGTCCTGAAGAGGTTGAATTTCGGAGGACCAGCCCAAGTGGCTGATCGGTCAGTACTTCCACAGCGTGGGCTTGGAAGTATGCGGCCAGTTTTTTGGCTGTTATAAAAAGTGCATACGCTGTTTTCTCAATGGCAGTGTACCGGCTTTCTGCCCCATTAAGTGCTTTGCTCACATAGTAAATAGGCCTTTGGCCGTCTTCATTTCTTATCAAAACAGAGCTTAAAGCGTTTTGGGATATGCCCAGATACAAGTATAAAATTTCACCCGGTTTGGGCTTAGAAAAAACTATATCAAAAACTAAGTACTCCTTCTGCTGCTGGAAAGCTACTTCACACTTCCGGTCCCATTCAAACGTGTTGGCCTTCTTCAAGACTTTGAAGAAGGGCAAGGCTCTTTCAGCTGACCGGGAAAGGAAGCGGCTCAAAGCTGCTAACCGCCCGGTGAGTCTCTACACGTCCTTCAATGAACAGGGCGACCTCATCTCGGTTATGGCTTTAATCTTTTCGGGATTAGGCTCAATACCTCGCTTGGTCACCATGAACCCCAAAAACTTTCCGGTCTTTACAGCAAAGACACATTTCTTGGGGTTGAGGCGCAAGTTGTATTTAGCCATGATCTCGAAACAAAGCCTCATATCAGCCGGGTGGTTTGCTGCCCACGGGCTTTTGATTAGCATATCATCCACATAAGCTTCCATCAACTTTCCAAGGAGTGGCTTGAAGAGCCGGTTCACCATCCGTTGATAAGTGGCGCCCGAGTTCTTGAGTCCGAAAGCCATCACCCGGTAACAATACGTCCCTTCAGGGGTCAGAAAGGAAGTTTTCTCCTCATCCTCCTTTGCCATGAAGATCTGATGGTAGCCTTTGAAAGCATCCATGAAGCTCAGCAACTCACACCCGGCCGTCTCATCAATCATCTGGTCGGGACTGGGCAACGAGTATGAATCCATGGGGCAAGCCTTGTTTAGATCTGTATAATCTACGCACATGCGCCAGGTATCGCCCTTTGGTGCTAGGACGACGTTTGCCAGCCATGTCGGGTACTGGACTTCTCTGATATGCCCGACTGAATACAAATCCTTTACTTCTTTCTTGACAAAGTCCCTACGGACATTTGCCAAGTGTCTCTTCTTTTGTTTGACAGGCCGGCTACCTTCCATCACAGCCAACCGGTGGCATATGACCGAACGGTCGATGCCTGGCATATCCGCCACATTCCAAGCGAATATATCTGCGTACTCCCGAAGGACTGAGATGATTTCCTCTCGAAGTCCTCCGGGCAAATCCCGACCTATCCTCACCATCTTTTTCGAGAAAGCTTTCCGGAGAACAATCTGCTCGGTCTCATCACCCGGTTTCAGCTTTGACCGATCTTCTTCCTGGGAAATCAAGGTAACCCTCTCAAATGCCTTGGTCATCTTCTTTACAGCCTCCAAGTAACAAGACCAGGCCTTCTTCTGATTTCCTCTGACTTGTCCTATACCGCCCGGGGTATAGAACTTCATGCAGAGATGGGCCATGGAAATGATTCCACGGACTTTATTTATTCAAGGCCGGCCTAGGATGGCGTTGTGAACACATTTGATGTTCACTACCACGAATCTCATCTGCTTCTGGATCACCTTGTCCCCCGTGCCCAATTCGCAAGTTAGAAGGGTTGATCCCTCAGCTTCCACAGAATCACCGGTGAACCCGGACAGGGGAGTCTTTAAGGGCTCAAGCCGCGTTCGACACAGCTTGAGTTTCTCAAAGGCCTCCAAGTACAAAACGTTGACACTACTGCCCGTGTCAACAAGTACCCGGGAAACATCGACTCCACCCATGTCCATAGTTATAACCAGAGGATCATTGTGGTCTTCCCCGGTGGCGGGAAGATCTCGGTCTGTGAAAGTGATCGGCTCCCTTCTGGTTTGTTTCCTTCGGGGATCCAGGGCAACCGTGCCGACGTAAAGTTCCCATCCCCACTTCTTTCTTTGAGAAGCAGAATCTCCACCTTCCGGTCCACCATAGATGACCTGCAGGTGCTCCTTGCTAGAGGATTTCTTCTTCTTATTCTGCTCGGCCGGTTGTCCTTCGGGCCTGACCCATTGGTTTTTCTTTGATTTCGCCTGAGCCAAATACTCTGGATCGAGCTCTCCAGCCTCAATCATCTGCTTTATTACCCCCTTAACACTATTGCACTCTGCAGTGTTATGGGAGTCAGTCTTATGGAAAGAGCAATACTTCTCTGACCACTACTTCTCCCCAGCAGGTTTCTTTTCTAACTTGGCCGGCTTTACCTCTAAGACTTCTGCCTTTACCCTGCCGGGTAGTTCGATTTCCTTTTTCAAGGAAATCCTTCCCTTGCAATGGCCCTGCTCGGCCTCCCTCTTCGATGACACCTGTGCTTCGGCGTCAGCATAATCCCAGGCCGTGTTGTAGGCCTCCTGGTATGACTGGGGAGGTCTCCGGCAGAATTCTTTATATAATTCTCCAGAACAAAGTCCGGAGACCAGCAGGGACATTGCAGTTTTGTCATCCATTTCTTCCAC